AAAAAAAAAAAAAAAATTGCCAGCTCTAAATATACAAACAACATTTAGGAAAACAAAAACAAAACAAAACAAAACAAAAAAACCCAAGACATTACTATTGACATTCCTGGTACATTTCCTATAATATAATGTCACAGATAATGTTTCTTTCCCAGGGAGTCCAGCTCACTCAAGAGGAGACATTTAGTTGGTGCCTCAGGAAAGACTGGGGGTGTTACCAGTTTTCCCTGCCAAGCCTAAGGCTTTTTTATGAGCTCAGTATCTCACAGAAACATCTGTGGTATAAATGAATCTAAAAGGAGATGAAGGCAGGCAGGCACCTGTCACTGATCTCCAAATCAGCCAAAAAGCTGAAGAGCGTGGGATCCAGAAGACAGATGTCATTAAGAATTGAGGGTAGAGGGGAGAACAAGAGGAAGCACCAAATGAGTGACTGCTTTTGGTTCCAAAGCCAAGGAGGAGGAGGGGGAAAGGCCCCATCAAAGATGGAAGCTGGTCTGAATGAGGAACTCCCCCTGTTCCTGGAGTCATGCAATAAAAATGATGGCCTTGGAGTCCCACCCACAGGCAGCCACACTCTAAGGACCAGAGCAATTTACACATCACACAGTTTGCAAAATAAAGAACTGATCCTAGGTTAGGAGGGTAAGTGCTTCTACAAAGTGGGGGGCAAGGAAGCTATCACCATGAACTTTAAAGCACAGCTGTAGTGTCCCTTGATTTCTATTTCAGCAAAGCCACAGGCCACTGTTATCACTTACTCTGTGAAAATGTACACTTCCACTTATTACTGGCCTCTTTTCAAATGGTACCCCTAGTAACAACCCTCAGAGATCTTAAGTGATATCAGTTGCACCTTTGTAGGTAAGATAATTCCCTTGCCCTATCCTTGTGAAAGCATTTCCCTTTTTAAGCTGCAGCTAGCATGCTACCTTCCCCTCCAAGCAGAGTTCAACTTCTTTTTGTTTCAGAGTTTTGCACTGCCCTCTGAGAATCCTTTCCAAGATACAAAAAAAAAGCATACTTCTGCATCCACATGTGAATGGGTTGCCTTCCAGTGTCAGATCTGTGTTCCAGAGTTTGGTCAATCATCTTTACAAGAATAAAACCACATGCGTACACAGATAGACTAGTCTGGAAAGGGTTTCTGGTTATTTTGATGCCTCCCCTAAAAAAATAACTTTCATGGAGTAAGATGATTAAGACATTGAACGACCTACTCTCTCTCAACTGTGGAAGGGCAGTTTGTTTTGTCCATTTTTCAATGAGAAAGTGGGAGGAATCCAACATTTTCAGTTATAACAATGAAATTTTGTTCTAAAAAAAAAAAAAAAAAGGAAGGATCCTATGTGGAAATGAGTGGAACAATGATAAAAATAAACAAATAATTAAAATTCCAAACCAAAACATATCTCCTGGCCCCGAGATCCCCAGTCAATCCTCTAAGACCACAATCTCCACATTGTGGACTTGGTGCTGGTGTTCTTCCATTTCAGCCACTACTTTCTCCTCAGTCCTCAACTCTGTCTCCAAGATGACTGCTTTGCCCTCAGTGTCTTCAGCTTCAGGGTCTGGGGCTGGGTCAATTTCAATGATGGTCTGCCCATCCTCTGCGGTGCTTTCAACTGCCTGGAGTGCTGAGGTCAGGCCAGACTCCATGGCTACCAGCTCCACAGGGCTCACCATGGTGGTCATGTTGCCTAGGGTGCTTCCATCCTGCATGGTAGTAGAGCTTAGCAGTGCCAAGCTAGATGAAGGGTGGATGGTCACTGTTTCTGGTGAGCTGCTCTTGGCAGAGGAGACCACTGTGGCGTATCGGAAGAGCTGAGGGCCAGAAGGCAGTGTGTGGACAGTCACAGGACTGGAGCCCTGGCTGAGGGTGGCCACTGGAATATTGCCCATGGAAAATGACTGACCCACTGGGGTGATGGTGATGGGTGAGATGACTGTGAATTGAGGTTGCTGCACAGGAGGAGAAGGGCTCAGGACAGTGGTGGAGGCTGGCCGCTGGAGCCGAGGCCTTTTTGGAGGCTTAGGAGTGCTCACAGGCATCAGTACCACATTTTGAACTGTCTGGGATTTCAGCCTATGATCCTGGGCTTGCTTCTTTTGCTCTTCCAACTGGCGTTCCAAGTCTATGGGGTTAAAAAACAAAAACAAAAAACTGTGTGGTGGGAAGTATAATCTTCGGAACATTAAACTGGGAATAAAGAGACACGGAATCCTGCCCTGCTTTATTCACTATGTAGCCTCAGAGAAGAGACTCCACTGTTTTCAAAATGACTAGACTGGATGATTTTAAAACCCCTCCAGTAATTATATTTCTTTGTGTAATTATAGGCAGGGTAACAGTTCATAATCTTTTCAAGCTGTGATCCTACTTTCAATTCTAAAAGTTCCTCCAGCATTTTGTCAGCTATCACCAAAATGCAAACCAAAGAAGCCTCCAGCTGGTCTTTTTTTTTTTTTTCTCTTTTCCTTTTCACAAGTACAAGTTTTAAATCCAAGGCTTTAGCTGGGCATAGTGATGTATACCTGTGATCCCAACAATTTGGAAGGCTAAGACAGGAAGATTGCCAAATTTGAGGCCAGCCTGGGTAATTTAGTAAGACCATATCTCAAAATTTAAAAACAAAATTGACTGGGGTGTAGCTCAAGCTTAAAGCAGCCCTGGGTTCAATGCCCAGTGCCAATAAGATAAACCCAAGGCCTCAAGCATGCTAAGCACATGCTCTAAAACTGACCTATTTCTCCAGTCTCTTTTATTGATATGTACATAGTGAATATTTATGGGGTCCTGGTGGTATTTCAGTACATGTATACAATATGCAATGATCAGATTAAATAATTGGCATATCTATCACCTCAGAGAGAGATCATTTCTTTGTGTTAGAAATATTCAAAATCTTCTCTTCAGTTGGGCATGGTGGGTCATGCCTGTAATCCCAGCTGCTCAGGAGGCTGAGACAGGAGGATTGCAAGTTTAAAGCCAACCTCAGCAACTTAGTAAAGCGCTAAGCAACTTAGTGAGACCTTATCTCTAAATAAAAATAAAGGGTTGGGGATATAGCTCAGTGGTTAAGTGCCACCATATTCAATCCTTGGTACCTCCTGCCCCCCCAAAAAATTCCTCTCTTCACTATTTTGAAATTTCAATTAATGGATTTCAACCATAATGATCCTACTGTGCCAAAGAACATTAGAAGTTATTTTCCTATCCAAGTGCACCCCTACACCCATTAACTATGTTTTCTCCAACCCTCCTTCCCTCACACCCTTCCCAGACTCTGGCAACCACTATTCTATTCTTTACTTCTCTAAGATCATCCAATTGGTGTTCTGGCTTAAATATTTCTGCCTAGGTCTATAGATGAAATAAGAAGTATCTGCACAATACATTTGGAATCATTCTAAAAACACAATGGCTCTCAAACTGTCCTTCAAATCAAGATTACCTTGATGGAAAACTACTTTGACTGGAAAACTCCTTTGCTGGTGACCCAAATTGCCAGTCTACCATGAACCCAGAGATGTCTAAAGTGAGTTACAGAATAACTCTCTATGAATTATAGAATTGAAAGAAGTCTTATGGTGCTGAGGATTGAACCCAGGGCCTTGTGCAAGCACTCTACCAACTGAGCTATATCCCCAGCCTGAAAGGTCTTAACAGTTCTATCCTCCTGCCTCAGCCTCCCAAATTGCTGGGATGTGCACTACCATGCCCAGCAAAAGCCCACATTATTAACAAAAACCATTCCACTGCTGGGCACAGTGGCACACCCCTGTAAACATGGCAGCTTGGCAGGCTAAGGCAGGAGAATTGTGAGTTTAAAGCCAGCCTAAGCAACAGTGAGGTGCTAAGCAACTCAGTGAGATCCTGTCTCTAAATAAAAAAAAAAAAAAGGGCTGGGATGTGGCTCAGTGATTGAGTGCCCCTGAGTTCAATTCCTGGTACCCAAAAAAATAAAAACACATTCTGCTGATAGATTAAAGTTTCAAGGTAAGAGAAAGTGCCAGGCTAGTAGTAAAATGACAAGAGATCTACTCTAGGCTTTTCTGTCAGATCATTTATCCTCTCAATTATCTATACAGAGTCAAGAGGGAGAATGATCATCCTAGCATTCTCAGAGGGAACAAAACTCAGTGAACTGAAGTTAAAATACAAACTAGATCTGGGTGTGGCAGCACACACTTGTAATCCCAGTAATTTTGGAGATGGAGGCAGGAGAACTGCAAGTTTGAGAACAGCCTGGGTAACTTAGTGAAAAAGGACTAGGAATGTGACTCAGTGGTAAAGGACCTCTGAGTTCTATCCCCAGTACCAAATAACAACAACAATGACAAATATATAAACTAGATATAAAAAAATAAACTTAAAACAATATTTTGGTTTTTTTAAATTTTTTTTGTAGTTGTAGATGGACAGAATGCCTTTATTTTATTTGTTTATTTTCATGTGGTGCTGAGGATTGAACCCAGTGCCTCACGCATACTAGGCAAGTGCTCTGCCACTGAGCTATAGCCCCAACTCCATTAAAACAATGTTTTTAAAACAACAGTATTTTAACATGTCAATGTTAAAATATTTTAAGCCCCAGTACCATAAAAGAAAAACAGGATCTAATTTGAAGATGATCACAAAGTCTTGATTGTAAAAAGAGTTAAATTACCTAGGTGCTTGTAATTTCTGACTACCATAAATAATGGTGAGGGTGCAAAATTTATATCTACCAAAAGAAGCAGTATCAATAATGTAAAAATGAGCTTGCTTCAATAGCATATATACTAAAATTGGAATGACATAGAGATTAGCGATTAGCGTGGCCCCTGCATAAGGACCACACGCAACTTTGTAAAGCATTCCATATTTTTATGAAGTTTTATTTTTATGAATGCAGTTTATTCTTAAAAAATAATAATGTAAAATGACAAAGATTTGGGCTGGGTTGAGGCTCAGTGGTTGAACTCTTGCCTCACCTGCGTGAGGCACTGTATTCGATTCTTAGCACCCCATAAAAAAATAAATTAATACTTTTGTGGTAGTTCAGCAGTGGTCTTATTTCTGGGAAAGCTTACAAACCATTCAAAGTTGGAAGCATAACTTAAATGGTGGTAAGACTCAAATGAGAAAAAGTAAAGAAAAAAAGAGAGGGGGGGAAAAAAGAGAGAAAAAGACAAAACAAAAAACAAACCTGTGGGAACAGCCTTGAGAGTGTAGAGGAACCATGAGAATGCCAACAATACTTAAACTCTCTTTTTTTAAAAAGGGATTTTTTTTTGGCTTAAAATATTTCACTCTAAATGAATTTATGTCAGCGGTCAATAAAAGAATGTCACTAATACACTGTGGACACCTTTTGCAATGTAAATTCATGCCCCCTCTTTTTTTTTACATGTTAAACTTCAACCTAGCAATTATTATTTTTTTTAAAAGACAGAGTGAGAGAGGAGAGAGAGTGAGAGAGAATTTTTAATATTTATTTTTTAGTTCTCGGCGGACACCACATCTTTGTTGGTATGTGGTGCTGAGAATCAAACCCCGGCCACACGCATGCCAGGCGAGCGCGCTACCGCTTGAGCCACATCCCCAGCCCCACCATTCATATTTTTGTCTTGTTCTTCCAATTGCTATAAACAACTTTCAGAGCTCTTGTATTTGGAAGGCTAAAAGAGACCAGACTTTGAAAATAGTGTCTTGGTTTCACTATTTTTGTTTCCTCTCTCTCTCTCTCTCTCTCTCTTTTTTTTTTTATTTTTATTTTTTTTAAGAGAGAGAGAGAGAGAGAATTTTATTTATTTTTTAGTTTTTCGGCGGACACAATTTGTCAGTATGTGGTGCTGAGGATCGAACCTGGGCCGCATGCATGCCAGGCGAGCGCGCTACCACTTGAGCCACATCCCCAGCCCTCTCTCTTTTTTTTTTTTTAAACTAAAGCTATATAAAGCTCATGGATTAAGCAGAATAAGTTTCTAAATTTATAAATAAATAAATAAATAAATAGGGTTGTGGTTCAGCAGTGGAGCGCTCGCTAGCACGTGCAAGGCCCTGGATTTGATCCTTATACCACATAAAAATAAATAAATGAAATAAAAATGTGTGTCCAACTACAATTAAAAAATAAATATTTAAAAAAACCCAAGGGCTGGGATGGTGGCTCAGCGGTAGAGTGCTCGCCTAGCATGGGCAGGACCCGGGCTCGATCCTCAGCACCACATAAAAAAATAAAGGCACTGTGTTGTGTCCATCCACACCTAAAAATAAATATTAAAAATAAATAAATAAATTAAATTAAATTAAAAAATCCAAAGATATTGTGTCCATCTACAACTAGAAAAATGTTTCAAAAAATGACAAAGATTAATTTGTGTCTTCTGTCACCAACATTATTTGATTAACGAAGCAATCTAGCAGACATCTTACTCCTCTCCAAAAGATACAGAAGGATCATGATGTTGGCTTCCCTCTTTTTTCCTTTGTTTTAATCCACCTTCCCTCAGGTGGATTGTTTGTTTTTCAAAAAGCAAAAAGCAAAATGTGATATGTAAAATTAAAAAAAAAAAAAGTCAGTCTCAACAAACATTAACAAGGAAATGGCAAGATTCAAGGACATTAGTATATGTACTAAGGAGAGAAATACACACCTGTCAGAGTATAGAGAAATTGCTCTTCCCCTTGCTCTACTTGGTTCCTTCTGTTGTCCAAAACCTTCTTAACTGTGTCCATTAGGCCAAAGGTATGTGCCACATTGTTGAGAACAGCAGCATCTATTTAAAACAAAATACATGCCTGTAGAGTAAAAAACAAATGTTCTACCAGCTTCCTGTTGTGCTATTGATAAATATGAAACAATCCAGACATTATGAAATTTTCCTCATTGCATTTTAATAATTTCTATACAAAGATTTATCACATGTATAAATGCTTTTTTATTTAATTGTTACACCTATTTCTTTCCATATAAAGAAAGAAAGAAATCAGAAAAATGTATCCTCTGTCTGGTTATAAGTTTTTACTTTCAGTATAGAAAACACGGTGGCTTGCCAGACATGGTGCCACATGCCTGTAATCCCAGCAGCTTGGGAAGCCGAGGCAGGAGGATTGCAAATTCAAACCCAGTCTTAGCAACTTAGACCCTATCTCAAAATAAAATACAAAAAAAGGTCTGGAGATAGAGCTCAGTGGTTAAGTGCCCTGGGGTTCAATCCGAAGGAAGAGAAGAGAAGAGAAGAGAAGAGAAGAGAAGAGAAGAGAAGAGAAGAGAAGAGAAGAGAAGAGAAGAGAAGAGAAAAGAAAAAAAGAAAGAAAATGTTGTGGCTAGACTAGATAAGACCTAAATTTGTTTTGTTTTTTTGGTTCTGGGGATAGAACCCAGGGCCTTGTACATGCAAGGCAAGCATTCTACCATCTGAACTATATCTCCAGCCCCCAAGACCTAAGTTTGAAAACTAGTTTTGCTAGTTTTATGGTTGTTCTTTCGGTACTGGGAATTGAACCTAGGGCCTCACCCCTGCTAAGCATTGACTCTAGTTTTACTACTATCTGTGTGACCTACGGTAGGTCATTTCACTCCCTCAGATTTCCCATCTGAAACAAATAGAACTGATAATACTTACTCTGTAAATACTTACTCTGTAAAATAGATATGAGGATTAGAAATATATTTTAAGTGTCACATGTGAGGACTGGTATGCAATATTATTATTATTATTATTGATACTACGGATTGAACCCAGGGGCACTCAACCACTGAGTCACATTTCCAGCATTTTTGTTGTTGTCGTTTGTGTGTGATGCAGGGGTGCTGGGGATCAAACCCAGGGCCTTGTGTCCACAAGGCAAGCACTCTACCAATTGAGCTATATCCTCAGCTCCCCAGCTGCTTTTTTAATATTTTATTTTAAACCGGTCTCGCTAAGTTGCTGAGGCTGGCCTTGAACCTGTGATCCTCCTGCTTCAGCTCCCCAAGCCACCAGGATTACAGGCATGCACCACTAACTCTAGCAGATATGAAATATTATTTTTTAAATATTTATTTATTTTTAGTTGTAGTTAGACACAATACCTTATTTTACTTATTTATTTTTATGCCATGCTAAGGATCAAACCCAGGGCCTCCCATGTGTTAGGTGAGCACTCTACCGCTGAGCCATAACCCAAGCCCCCAATATTATTATTAACAGTATTACTTCTGGGGCTGGGGATATAGTTTTGTGGTAGAGTGCTTGCCTGGCATGCTTGAGGCCCTGAGTTCATTCCCCAGTACCACCACCACCCCCCGCCACACACACACACACAAAGTATTATCTCTATTCCCTTTTAGAAAACTTTTCTTTGAAACGGGAAATTGAACCCATGGGTGTTTTACCACTGAGATACATCACCAGTCCTTTTTGAGACAAAAAAGGACTGAGGCTAGTATCAAACTTGCAATCCCCCTGTCTTAGCCTTCCGAGTCACTGTGCCCACATGGTCTATAAAAGTTCTTGAAAATTTTGTCAGTAGCGGGGTGTGGTGGCACATGCTTGCAATCCTAGCTACTTGGGAGGTTGGAGAAGGAGGACTATAAGTCCAAGGCCAGTCCAGGCAATTTATCAAGACTCTCTCAAAACAAAAAAGTAAAATGGGCTGGAAACATAGCTTATACATGTGGTCCTGGGTTCAATCCCTAGTATTGCAGGGGGTAAAAAGAGTTGTTAGGCCAGGTGTGATTATACACCTATAATCCCAGTGGCTCAGGAGGCTGAGGCAGGAGGACCACAAGTTCAAACCGGCCTCAGCAATTTAGTCAGGTCCCAAAGCAACTCAGCAAGACCCTGTGTCTGAATAAAAAAAAAAAAAAAAAAAAGGCTGGGGAAGTGGCTCAGTGATTAAGCAGCACTGGGCTCAATCCCCAGTAACAAAATTTTAAAAATAAATAAATATAAATTTAAAAATAGATCAAAATAAATACATAAATATTTGATTTTTTTTTTCAGTGCTGGGGATGAACTCTGGGCCTTGCACATGCTAGGCTAGTTCTCTACCACTGAGCCACATCCCCAGCCCCCAAAATTTTAAAATTTTGACAGTGTCTCCTCTAAGTTGCCAAGGTTGGCCTGGAACTTGTGATCCTCCTGCTTCAGTTTCCTGAGTTGCTAGGATTACAGTTGTGTACCACCATGCCTGGCTTCATTTATTTTTTTAAATCCCACTGGAATTTTACTGAGATTGCACTGAATCCATAGAATTCCTCTATTCTTTTTTCTCCTCTTTTTATTTTCTGGTGCTGGGGATTGGATCCAGGACCTTGTGCATGCTAGGCAAATACTCCACCACTGAGATATAGCCCCACTCCTCAGCTTCATTTTTTTTAATACTTATTTATTTTTTAGTTGTAGTTGGACACAATGGCTTTATTTTATTTATTTATATGTAGTGCCAAAGATCGAACCCAGGACCTTGCACATGCTAGGCGAGTGCTCTATTGCTGATCCACAACCCCAGCCCCTCAGCTTCATTTTTTGCTTGGACTAATCCTTTAAACTCTCCCAGTTCAGGGGCTGGGATGTGGCTCAAGCGGTAGCGCGCTCGCCTGGCATGCGTGCGGCCCGGGTTCGATCCTCAGCACCACATACCAACAGAGATGTTGTGTCCGCTGAGAACTAAAAAATAAATATTAAAAATTCTCTCTCTCTCTCTCTCCTCTCTCACTCTCTCTTTAAAAATAAATAAATAAATAAATAAATAAACTCTCCCAGTTCATCTTCTTATTTCCACTTATGACCCATAAACTCTCCAGAGAGCAACCAGAGTGATCTTTTAAAAATATAAATCCTACTACTCATACTCTGACTACTTCTATTGAAGCTAAAGGATCACAAGTTGGAACTTAGTGAAACCTAGTTTAAAAAGGATTGGGGATGTAGCTCAGTGGTAAAGTACCTTTTGTTCAATACCCAGTACCAAAACTAATCATCATCATCATCTAAAACCAGATGGATTTTTCTAATTTTCAGACTTACACACACACACACACACACACACACACACACACACACACATTGCTTCTCAGCCTTTTGGCTAAGATCAAGCATACACACACACACATTCATATATATACAATAGAGAGAGAGATCCTGAGTTAGAGAATGAACATGGGGCAGAGGTATGGAGAAAGTGCTTCTTTCTGGCACTATTTATAAAAACTACATGTAGAAAAAACATAGCCAGACCTGAGTTTAAAACCCAGTTATGAACTTTAAACAAGTGACTTAATTTTTATGAGCCTTATTTTCCTTATCTGTAAAATGGAGATAATGATATTTGTACTTCAGAGTTGCTGTGAGACTAAAAGGACCTGCCCACAGTTGTTGAGTATTTGAAAAATGACCACTGTTGTTAGGATCAGTGCACTCACCTGTGACCTGGAAGGGAGTCTGGATGAGCCGCTGCTGAACTCCTCTTAGGAGCTCCTCTATTTCCTTCTGTATGTTGCAGACAACCTCTTCCATCAGGCCTACATCAGCTATTCCTTTCCAAAACATCAACGTGTCCTCTGGCACAAGAGGATAAGATAGAGGGTAAACAAAGAAAGCTACCTAGGCACATTTCTACAATGCTTAATTCAAAATTATTTCAATTCAAAAGGATTTCTTGTTGGGTTGTTACTGGAAAAAGGGAAAGAACTTTGGGACACTAGCTGCCTTCCTGAGTTGTTACTTAATTATTTGGCCCCTTCAGTCACTTAGGAGCTTGCCTCAATTTGTCATACCCTTATTTTGTTACGGCTCTGTCTATAAAAACAGATAATTAAATAAATTAAAAAATTAAAAAACAAAAAAGAAAAAGATATTTTCTTCTAATAAAGAGAGTAAGCGAAATACTAAACATTAAATATTTATTATTAAGTATTGATTACATTCAAATTTAATTAAGTTAGATAATATTTAATATTATTAAGTTAAAATAATAAAGATATTAAACTAAATATTAATTAAAAGATATACTCTCCCTTATTGGATAGATAGCACTATAAGCTCCCCAGGGGGCCTGGGGTTGTGGGTTCAGTGGTAGAGCGCTTGCCTAGCACGTGTGAGGCACTGGGTTTGATTCTCAGTACCACATAAAATAGGGTATTGAGTTCATCTACAACTAAAAAAATATTAAAAAAAAAAAAAGTTCCCTGAGGGAGGTTGCCATGTTTTTTCATTTATGCACCTAGAATCTTGCAACATAATTACCAATTAAATGTTTATTAGATGAATTAATAAATGAAGAACGATATTAAGCCTCTCTGATCCCCTCTAAGTAAATCATTAATCCCCATCCTCTGCACCACCCGCTATCTAATTTTGCCTTCAGAGATCCTTTTTTTTTTTTGTATCGGGATTGAACCAGGGGCACTTAACCACTGAACAATATCCCCAGCCCCACCCCACCCCATTTTTAAATTTTATTTTATTTGGAGAAAGGGTCTCACTGAGTTACTTAGGGCCTCGCTAAATTGCTGAGGCTGGCTTTGAACTTGCAATCCTCCTGCCTCAGCCTCCCAAACTGCTGGGATTACAGGCATGTGCCACTGATTCCTCTGGACATCCTTAAGTTTGAAGAAATGTGCCAAAGTTGGGGGCAATTTGATAGGAGGGAAAATATAGAACACAGAGTCAAACAGCTGATTTCAGCTCTGACACCTATTGGTTGTGTGGCTCATCTTAGGCAAGCTGCTGAACCTTTCCAAATCTTCATGTATAAAATGTGACTCTGAAGGGCAACTTCATGGATTAAAATAAGATGTTTAACTATGGTTAGTATTATTCATACTAAAAAGCCTTCCTTGTCCATAATCATAGTGATGGTAAGGGTCATAAAAACCTAGAGGATACTAGCATGGTGGTGCATGCCTATAATCCTAACAACTTGGGAGGCTGAGGCAGGATGATCACAAGTTCAAGACCAGCCTCAGTAATTTAGCAAGGCCCTAAGCAACTGAGTGAGATCCATTCTCAAAATAAAAAATAAAAGGTGCTGGAGTGTAGCTCAGTGATTAAACTCCCTTGGGTTTAATTCTCAGTAGCAAAAAAATAAAAATAAAAAACAAACAAACAAAAACCCCATACAAGATATGGAAAAGTACCTGAAATTTCCTCAGAGTCTTTTTTCACACCCTCCTCTGTGGCCATGGTGACAGCAGCGGTGAGAGCCGAGTTCCATTCCAGTCCTGCCTCTTCCATGCTCTCTTCTGAGATGGCAATCTGTGTGATGCTACCTAAAAGAAGTCCGTTACATGTGAGGCCAGTGAATTTTATGCAAAAGCTATAGCTACCTTCTATCTTATACAGACACACAGCCCATGTTATTTTAACATGCTCACCTTGTCAGGTGCGGTGGTATATGCCTGAATCAGGAGCCTGAGGCAGGGGGATAGTGGGTTCAAAGCCAGTCTCAGCAACTTAGCAAGAACCTAACCAACTGAGCGAGGCCCTGTCTCAAAATAAAACATAAGGCCAGGCGCAGTGGCACACACCTAAAAACCCAGTGGCTTGGGAGGCTGAGGCAAGAGGATTACAAGTTCCTCAACACAATTGCCTCAGCATCACAATTGCCTCAACAATTTAGCAAGGCGCTAAGCAACTCAGTGAGATCCTGTCTCTAAATAAAATACACAATTAGGGCTGGGGATGTGGCTCAGTGGTCGAGTGCCCCCAAGTTCAATCACCAGTACAAAAAAAAAAAAAAGGCTGGGGATGTGGCTTATTGGTTAAACACCCAAAGGTTCAATCCCTGGTATTAAATAAATAAATAAATAAACAAACAAACAAACATGCTCACTTCTTGCCTGCAGGTCCATGCTTTAAGAACTAGACTCCTAGCTGAGCATGGTGGTGTACGCTTATAATCCCAGCAGCTGGGGAGGCTGAGGCAGCCTCAGCAAAAAAGTGGGGCACTGGGCTTGGGTTGTGGCTCAGAGGTAGAGCATTCGCCTAGCATGCGTGAGGCACTGGGTTCGATCCTCAGCATCACATAAAAATAAAATGAAGATATTGTGTCTACCTAAAACTAAAGTAAATAAATAAATATTTTTTTAAAAATGAGACACTAAGCAATCCAGTGAGACCTTGGATTGTTTTTTCTACATAAAATAAAATTTGGCTAGAGATGTGGTTCAGTAGCCAAATGCCCCCAAATTCAACTCCCAGTACTAAAAAAAAAAAAAAAAAGGGCTGGGGATGTGGCTCAAGCAGTATCTTGCTCGCCTGGCATGCATGTGGCCCGGGTTCGATCCTCAGCACCACATACAAACAACGATGTTGTGTCCACCAAAAACTGAAAATTAAATATTAAAAAATTCTCTCTCCTCTATCTCTGTCTCTCTTTCTCTCTCTCTCTCTTTAAAAAAAAAACTGTTAAAAAAAAAAAAAAGAACTAGACTCTTAAGCAAGCTCGGATGATTATTGGATTTTCTAAAGAAAACCTGCCTTGCAAAAGAAAGGCTTTTTTACTCTGAATACAAAGGGAAAGATTGCTAGGAATGTAGCTCAATTGCAGAGCACTTGCCTAGCACTAGCAGGTGTGAAGCCCTAGGTTCATTCCCCACCACAGGAAAAAAAAAAAAAAAAAAAGAAAGAAAAGAAAAAAGAATGGGGTAGGAGGGAAAGATAAGCAAATAACTTACAAAATCATGAAAGGAAGCTGGCAACAGTGGTACACACCTGTAATCACAGTGGCTCAGGAGAATTATAAATTCAAATCCAGCCTCAGCAACTTAGTGAGGCCCTAAGTAACTTAGCAAGACTCTATCTCTAAACAAAATATAAAAAAGGGCTGGGGATGTGGTTTAGTGGTTAAGTGCCCCTGGGTTCAATCCCCGGTATCAAAATAATAATAATAATAGTAATAAAATGAAAAAATAAAATCACGAAAGGGCAATCTGCTTTTGAAAGAGATTGAATATAAGCATGATCACCAGGCTACCCACTTAATTGGATGAGGAGAACCTTAAATTATGTAAAAGTAGGAAGCTTTGCCTACAAACACATTTGATACTAAGCATTTAGAATATTTAAGTTTATTACTGCTTACCTATATCAGCCTGTGAAAAAGAGGCAAGAGAAATGGAGACTCAAGAAATCAGGTAAGAGATCCACTGGGTGCAGTGGTACATGCCTATAATTCTAGTGACTTGGGAAGTTAAAGCAAGATTGCCAAATTTGAGGCCATCCTCAGCAATTAAGTGAGGCCCTAAGAACTTAAGAGAGATTCTGTCTCAAAAAATAAAAAGGGTAATAAAAATAAAAAATAATAATAAGGATCTAACTCAGTGGTAAAATATCCCTGGGTTCAACTTCCAGTACCAAAGAGAGAGAGAGAGAGAGAGAGAGAGAGAGAGAGAGAGAGAGAGAGAGAGATCCATGAACAACAGATTGATAGAGAAGAACAAAATCCCCACTATAAATTGCTTTAAAACAAAGAGAATGGAGAAAAATCAAATTAATCTAGCAAGCAATATAGACAAGTGTGGACTATACACACAGGAGGATATCAATAATCAAACAAAAGAATAATGTTAATATGGATAAAGAAGTAAAGGAGTTTGGGCCAAATAAAAGGAAAACATTTCAAAGCATTTTTTGCTTTTCAAGTGAGTCATGTGTGCAAAAATACAAACTGCTAGATATTTTATATTTTTTGAAGGGAATTTAGGTTCCAAGAGATTTGTCTTCTACTTTCCCAGTGTTTACTCATAGAATATTAGGGCTGGCCAAAATTAAAAGTAAAGAGATCATTTTTCTTTCTTTCTTTTTTTTTTTTTTTTTAATACATGAAAGGAATGGTAAATGTGAACCAATCCAAATATTTTTTTAAGAGAGAGAGAGAGAGAGAGAGAGAATTTTAATATTTATTTTTAGTTTTTAGTTTTCGGCGAACACAACATTTTTGTTTGTATGTGGTACTGAGGATCGAACCCTGGCTGCACGCATGCCAGGCGAGCACGCTACCGCTTGAGCCACATCCCCAGCACAAGAGATCATTTTTCAAAAACAGTACTTCCCTAACCTTTTAGATCCTTGAGCATTCTGTGATTATTATCAGGCATATCTATAAGTTTATGATAGTAGTTGAGACAGATTTTATTCAACTATGGCTAAGTCTCCAGTTGGGCTGATTTAATCCTTTTTTTTTTTTTTAAAGAATTTTTTTAATATTTATTTTTTAGTTTTCGGCGGACACAACATCTTTGTTTGTATGTGGTGCTGAGGATTGAACCCGGGCCGCACGCATGGCAGGCGAGCGCGCTACCGCTTGAGCCACATCCCCAGCCCTCTGATTAAATCCTTTTGAATAATCTTTCCCATAAAGTTATATCTTTGCTGGATGGCGAGGAGCCTTAGGTCCAAATTCGAAAAGACTGAAGTGTGTGCCCATCCTATTCATCTGTGAGGAAGCCTCATGTTGGTAATCTGGAGCCCACCCAGGCAGAGCTCTCTGAGACTTGTGGCAGGCTCTTCATAGTCCAGCCCAGTCAATGACACACTGATAAATCTCAGTTCAACAGTTGAAAACTTTTCATCATTCTAATCTACCCTGCTGTCTTCACCTCTAATAGTGCAAAGGATTTTTCAGAACAGTCTAATTTCAACCTTGATAAGCCCAGAGGCACCAAAGTGAAACCACTGGATAAGTGTTAACTATTGAACCATCTTTCTAATGCTTACCATGCATTCTAAGAAGAAACAAGGAAGAAGATCTGGCCAATAAGAATTATTTAGAGGAAAAAAAAAGAGATCTGTTTCCAAGACATAGAATCCCATCCAAGATTACCATACCTTAGCACAAAGCATATCAATGCTCACAAGAATTGAAATTAAGAAACACAAAGGAGAAAAGAGAGGGAAAGTACTGCTGAAAAACACAGCGGGTTTTCAGGTGGTTTCCTACCCCCTACCATCGGCCGAAGTGGGTGTCTGCACCACACTTGTCTGCTGTCCTGGCACTGGAGCTCTTGCACTGCTAATCAGAAGATCAAATTTGGTGCTTCTGCAGGTATTGGAGCAAACTTTATCATGTTGGTAAAAATCAATCTGTCCAGAGTCCATCATTTTCCTGTGGAAAGAGAAATAAGTACCAGTTTAGCCTGCACTTCATTTAAAAGAGAAAAACTGGCCAGGCATGGTGGCACATGCCTTTAATCCCAGCAGCTCAGAGGGATAAGGCAGGAGGATCACGAGTTCAAAGCCAGCCTCAGCAATGGCGAGGCACTAAGCAACTCAGGAAGACCCTGTCTGTGGCTCTGTGGCTCTGTAGCTCTGTGGCTGTGGGGCTCAGTGGCTCTGGGGCTCTGGGGCTCAGTGGTCAAGGGCCCCACGTGCCCCTGAGTTTAATCCCCAGTATCAAAAAAACAAAAACAAAAACCTAGGCCTTAGGGACAAATAGAGACAACACTGCTTAGCCCACTAAGTAAATTAATAAAATCTAATAGTATTAGAAATCATTAGGTTGCAAAAATTCTAATTGGGACTACAAATTTTTCATTGAGCCTGCCCATATTTATTAGCACCTTTCTTCTGAGTTTACTCATTTTGAATACTCTCTTCTACTTGCTATAATCACTAAGCTCAGGTATATACTAAGAATGTCACTGAAACCAGATCTGAAAAGGGAAAATACTAGTTTAAATCTCAGCACAACTGAGAAATGTCTCAGGGATATCTGAATTTTTGGATGAGATTCTGACATGTTAGTAATCCTAGACTAGAAAAATTTGTTACTACTTTTAGAGACATAAAGTTTCAGTAAACTTCTTTCATTAAAAAAAAGGAAAAAGAGCTGGGGGAGTGGCACACTCCTGTAATCCAAGTGGCTTGGGAGGCTGAGACAGGAGGATGGGGAGTTCAAAGCCAGTCTTAGCAATGGTGAGGTGCTAAGCGACTCAATGAGACTCTCTGTCTCTAAATAAAACACAAAATAGGGCTGGGGATGTGGCTCAGTGGTCAAGTGCCCTTGAGTTTAATACCCAGTACCAAAAAAAAAAAAAAGAAAAAATAGGGGCTGGAGATGTAGCTCAGTGGTAGAATGCTTGCTTACTTAAACGTGTGAAGCCCTGGGTTTGGTCCTCAGCACCATGAAAAGAAAAATAAATCAAATTTTAAAAAATTGACAACAACTCTCCTAGAAATAAATAAAGAGTAAAGTTGATTATGCTAAACACTCTCTGGAAAATGTCCTTATAACTGTATCCACAGACATTGTTATTATAGGCCATGAGCAAAAACCATAGGGTATTTTAATTATAGTAAACTCTATGGTAGAATGTCACTTGGCTTTCTCTTTTTCTTCTTCTTTTCTTTTCTTTCTTTCTTTTTTTTTTTTTGTGTGTGTGGGGTGGGGATTAAACCCAGGGGGGATTACCACTGAGCTATATCCCCAGACTTTTTTTTTATTGGGTACCAGGGATTGAACTCAGGGGCACTCAGCCACTGAGCCACATCCCAGCCCTATTTTGTATTTAGAAACAGGGTCTCACTGAGTTGCACGGTGCCTCGATTTTTGGCTGAGGCTGGCTTTGAACTTTCGATCAAAGTTGGCCTCCTGAACCGCTGGAATTACAGGCTCTTTCAACATTTTTTATTGGTATATTATAGTTTTACATAAAGGCAGGATTTATTGTTACATATTCATACATGCACACAATATAAAAATATAATTTGGCCAGAATCACTTCCTGGTACTTCATCCCTTCCTCCCCTTCTTTCATCCTCTGAATCCTTTCCTTACTGATCTCTTTGATTTTTTTTTAATATTTTTATTTTTTAGTTGTAGTTGGACACAATACCTTTATTTTCTTTTTTATTTTTATGTGGTGCTGAAGACTGAACCCAGGGCCTCACCATGTGCTAGGCACACGCTTTACTACTGAGCCACAACCCCAGCCCTCTTTGATTTTTTTTTTTTTTTTTTTTTTAGTTGTAGATGGACACAATATCTTTATTTATTTATTTTTATGTGGTGCCAAGGATCAAATCCAGTGCCTCACATGTGCTAGGCAAGCGCTCTGCCACTGAGCTACAGCCCCAGCCCTCTCTTTGATTTCTTAATATTTATTTTTTTAGTTTTCGGCAGACACAACATCTTTGTTGTATGTGGTGCTGAGGATCGAACCTGGAATGCACGCATGCCAGGCAAGCGCGCTACCGCTTGAGCCACATCCCCAGCCCTCTCTTTGATTTCTTGAGAACCCTGTCTTCCACCTTTCTTTTTTTTTTTTTTCCTCTTTAGCCTCCACAGGAGAGAAAACATATGACCCTTGACCTCCTGAGTTTGGCTTATTCCTGGAATTAACTTTTTTTTAAAAATATTTATATTTTAGTTGTAGTTGGACACAATAGCTTTATTTTATTTATTTATTTTTATGTGGTGCTAAGGATGGAACCCATGGCCTCAGACATGCTAGGTGAGTGCTCTACTGCTGAGCCACAACTCCAGCTCCTTGGAATTAATTTTTTAAAAATGATTATGTATTTCTGAATATAAAAATAATATATGAAGAAAATATATGAGCTGGGAGTGTAGCTCTGAAATAGAGCAGTTGCCTAGCATGCACATAGCCCTGGGTTTAATCCCCAGCAACACAAAGGAAAAAAAAATTAATATTTTCCATGGAAAATATAGAAAACTATAAAGAAAATGACTTGCCTTTTTTTAAAAAAACGCTACACAGGAAGACTGCAAGTTCGAAGCCAGCTTCAGTAACTTAGTAAGGCCCCAATTAACTTAGTAAGATCCTGTCTCAAAAATAATAAGTAATCCAAGGGGATCAGGAGTCTGAGGCAGGAGGAACATGAGTGCAAAGCCAGACTCAGCAAAAGCGAGGCACTAAGCAACTCAGTGAGTCTCTAAATAAAATACAAAGTAGGGCTGAGGATATGGCTCAGTGGCTGAGTGCCCCTGAGATCAATCCCCAGTACCAAAAAATAATTAAATAAATAAAATTAAATAAAAGGGGGAGGGATGTGGCTCAGTGATAATGTACCCCTGGGTTAAATTCATAAACAGACAATGTCAACATTTTTAGCATATTTTCTTCTTTTCTTTTAGTTGGTCCTGGGAATTGAACCCAGGGGTACTTTATGACTGAGCAACATCATAGGTCCTTTTTATTTATTTGGAGATAGGGATTTGCTAACTTGCTGAGGCTGGCCTTGAGCTGGCAATTCTCCTGCCTCAGGCTCCTGAGTTGGTGAGATAACAGGCATATGCCACAGTACCTGGCCAATATCACTCCCCAGTATTTCCACATATTTTCTGCCACTAAGTTTTACTTATGTGTATGTAAATATGTGGGGTTTTTATTATTATTATTATTATTATTTGCTTTTGTTGTTTGCAGTGCTCGGGATTGAATCCAAGCCCTTGTGCATGCCAGGCAAGCACTCTACCACTCAACTCCACAGCTCAGTGTATGTTTTTTTTTTAAATAATACATACATACATACATACATACATACATACATTTATTTATTTATTTATTTATTTATTTATTTATTTATAATGTGGCGCTGGATGTTGAACCCAGTGCCTCATACATGCTAGGCAAGCGCTCTACCACTCAACTCCACAGCTCAGTGTATGTTTTTTTTTTTTTAATAATACATTTATTTATTTATTTGTTTGTTTGTTTGTTTGTTTGTTTGTTTTTAATGTGGCGCTGGATGTTGAACCCAGTGCCTCATACATGCTAGGCAAGCGCTCTACCACTGAGCCACAACCTCAGCCCCTGTGTATGTGTTTTAACATTGATAAGTCACATATTTAATCTTTTCTCTTTTTTTTGGTGGAGGTGGGGAGAGGGTACTGGAGATTTAACTCAGGGGCACTTGACCACTGAGCCACATCCCCAGCCCTATTTTTTTTTAATATTTATTTTTTAGTTGTATTTGGACACAATGCCTTTATTTTATTTATTTTTATGTGATATTGAGGATAGAACCCAGGGCTTTGCACATGCAAGATGAGTGCTCTAGTGCTGAGCCACAACTCCAGCAGCCCCCAGCCCTATTTTTGTATTTTATTTAGAGACAGGGTCTCACCGAGTTGCTTAGCAATTCACTTTTGCTGAGGCTGACTTTGAACTCACAATCCACCTATCTCAGCCTCCTGAGCTACTGGGATTAGAGGTGTACACCACCGAGCCTGGCAATTTTCCTTATCCTTATTTTAAAAAAAAGTATTTGCAATGCTGGGTATAGAACCTAGGACCTCATGTATGCTAGGCAAGTGCTCTACCACTGGGCTACACCCCATATCCCATTTAGTCAGTTTTATATTTGTCTTTTTCACATTACTTCTTAAGCATTTTTCCATGTGAAACTCTTCAAATATATTTTAATTACTGAAAAACAATCCATAATATACACTCATACAGATTTCTGACAAGTCATAATTTACTTTAGAAGTCCCTTGACTATATGTTAAAGCAGACTATAATTTTTACCATAAAAAATGTTACAATAAAAACATTTATGCTTAAATCTCTACAAAGATTATAGATTTTCCTTAGGATAGATTTCTTTAAAAATAATTAAAAAGACAAAGGATAAGATATTTTCAAGGATCTTGATACATGTTCTATAGACAACTTGTAATTCTTGACATTTAAAATTTTTCTATCAGCAGATTAATGTTCCAGGAATATCAACTAATGCTAATATTCAAGAGGGAAAAACTACAATAGTAAACTTGTTACAAAAAAAGGGGTGAGAGTGCAGAATATTACACATTCTGATGTTTATTTCCGGGGTACATCCATGGTGAGGATTGCATTTGTTGTGTGTAACTGTTAATGCTCAAGCACCCTTCTACTTCACCAGATTATCCCAGGATTTGTTGAACAGCCTACACTGCTGCATGGTTGTTTCACTTGCTCTTTGACTTCTCTGTTTGGTGGATTCAAACAGGACTGTCATCTACTCAGAGCTTCTCTGCCAAGAGAGTATCTGATCTATCCAACTTTTTTTTCTTTTTTTGGTAACACTGGGGATTGAACTCAGGGACTCTCTACCACTGAAATACATTTCCACCCCTTTTTATTTTATTTTGAGATAGGGTCTCACTAAGTTGCCCAGGCTGGCCTCAAACTTGTGATCCTTCTGCCTCAGCCTCCTAATATTCTAGGATTACAGGTGTATGCCACTATGCCTGACTCTCTCAGAGATTTAAGAATAAGTTGGGGGCTGAGAAGAAGTAGATCAGTGATAGAGGGCTTGCCTGGCAAGCATGAGGATCTGGTTTGAGCCCCAGCACTTAAAAAAAAAAAAAAGAAGAAGAAGAAGGAAAAAAAAAAAAGAAAGAAAAAGGATTAAGAACAACTTGATAGCCAGGCACAGTGTTGCACGCCTATAATCCCAACAGTCTGGGAGGCTGATATAGGAGGATTGATAATTAAAAGCTTGTCTCAGTAACTTGGTGAGGCTTTAAGCAACTCAGCAAGACCCTGTTCTCTAAATAAAATTTAAAAAAGGGCTGGAGATGTGACTCAGTGGTTAAGTGCTCCTGGGTTCAACAGCAAAAAAAAAAAAAAAAGAACAACTTGATGAGCTGGACATGGTATCCAATGCCTGTAATCCCAGAGACTCAGGAGGCTGAGGCAGAAGTATCACAAGTTCAAGGCCAGTGTTATCAATTTAGTGAGCCCCTAAGCAACTTAGCAAGACCCTGTCTCAAGGACTGGGGATGTGGCTCAAGCGGTAATGCACTTGCCTGGCATGCGCGGGGCGCTGGGTTCGATCCTTAGCACCACCTAAAAATAAAATAAAATTTAAAAAAAAAAAGGCCCTGTCTCAAAATAAAAAATAAGAGGGTGTTGGGAGCAAGTTGTAGCTCAGTGGTAGAACCCTTGCCTAACACACGTGGTTCTATTCTCAGCACTGCATATAAATAAATAAAATAAAAGTCCACCAACAACTAAAAAAATATTAAAAAGAAGGTCTGAAAATGTAGTTCAGTAGTACAGTACCCCTGAGTTCAATCCTCATCACCCCCAAAAAACACAACAAATTGACAAAGAACAAATAATGCATGGAATGTTCAAGCCAATCCTTCAGACAGAATACAAACCTCAAAGTAAAGAGAAAAAGACCTACCACAATTAAGTGCCCCAAAGTTTGTTGAAAGGTGTGTGTTAGATCTTACCTAAGCATGATTCCACCCAGACGAATGGCTCTCTTCCAGTCCTTCAGAGTGGACTTGCCAGCCAGATGAACAAAATGCTTGGGGCTGATCAACTGATCATTGAACTAAAGTTAAAAAAAAAAAAAAAGTCCAAAGCAGTTCAATGTCAATGTAGGCAAGTCAAGAGGGAAAAGAATGAAATAATAACTCTATTTGTTACATACAAAACAATGCCCAGATAGAAAATGAATTGATTAGTATCTACTATCGACTTAAACTTTGAATCCAGAAGTTTGTTCTAGTGTTGGAAAGGCTGAGGAAATTAACTGAAATAATCTATCCAGCCTAAAGGTCAAGATTCAGGATGGTGGAAAGAACAACTGTGGTAGAAAACAACAGCACTGCAGAGCCTTGAAATTCTGTAATCCTAATTAATCTAGGATGATGCCATTGTAATAACTAGTATCTATGGATACTGATGTAGCCACCAATCAAGAGCATAATGTGAACAGAATTGTTCATTCTGTCTTTATTGGTGACAGACAGAATGAACAATTCTGTTCACATTATGCTCTTGTAAAGATTATTTTTATAAATAATAATTTTGAATAAACTCTTCCACAATACATACTAGTATAAGGCATTTACATATATTATCTGATTTAAACTAGCAGTTTTGCATTATAGATATTGATATGTGTAAAAATACATATATATGTGTGTATATATACATACATACACACACATACACACACACACACATATGATTATTTCGATTTTAGGATGAGGGTCTGAAATATTAAAAAACTTGGTCAATGGCTGGGGTTGTGGCTCAGAGGTAGAGCACTTGCCTATTATGTGTGACGTACTGGGTTCGATTCTCAGCACTACATACAAATAAATGAATAAAATAAAGGTCAATCAATAATTAAAAAAAAAAAAACTTGGTCAAGGTCATCCAGTTAGTCATTCATTGAACAAATATTTATTGATTATCTATTATACATCATGGACCATTCAAGCTAGGTATATAGCTTAGTGGTAGTTGTATGCTTATCATGTATAAGGCCCTAGGTTTGATCCCCAGATCCAAAAGGGAAGAAAAAAAAAAAAAAAAAAGGAACATTTTAAAGGTTGGATTTATAGTAGTGAACAAAACAGGTAAGTCTTCTACTCTCATAGGACTTATATTCCAATAGGACTTAAATACAAGTCAACCCTTATTTTTTTCTACTGTGAAATGATAGAACAATAGCTATAAAATCAAAAACACTGATTAGGAGCTGGGAGTGTAGCTCAATGGTAGAGCTTGCCTAGCATGTTCAAGGCCATGGGTTGCATTCCCAAAATTGCAGAAAAAGGGAAAAAAAAAAAAGATTTGGTGGAAGAGAGAGAGGAGGCACTGAAACAACACCCTTTGAAAAGGAAAAGTCCTGAAACATCTCAGCAAGAAGACAATTACCTTAACACACTTCACATTTATTCCTGGACATACAAACTTCTTCCAGAGGAGAATGGCTTTGCTCTCTCCACAAGTTATGGGGTAAGCAATTTCCATATCCTCATTTGCTTCTATAGTGCTTGCATCTGAAAATGGAAAAAAAAGTCAGTTATTTAATAAACAAGTCTTCACCAAATTTTATTTTATTTTATTGTGGTGCTGGGAATTGAACCCAGGGCCTTGTATATGCAAGGCAAGCACTCTACTAATTGAGCTGTATCTCCAGTCCTTCACCAAATTTTAAATTCCAAATTACTAGTTTCCTACTTTCCCTAAGGATCTAATAGTTCATTCTTGCTAGTATTGTTTAGGAATCCTCCAGAAGTTTGACATAATAGCTACCTTCTACTATGTGCTAGACACTCTAACATATATATGTATTGTTTGTTGGTTGGTTTGTTTTGTTTTGCAGTACTAGGGATTAAGTACAGGGATAATCTATCACTGAGCTATATCCTCTTGCCTCAGCCTCCCAAACTGCTGGGACTATAGACATGTGCCACAACATCCTGTATTTGCTTTACATGCTTAGTATTATTTAGCTCTTATAAAATCATGTGAAGCAGTAATTGTTTGCTATGTTTTTCATATAAGTTTATGGGCCTCAGAAAAATCAGTGACTTTCCAAGGATACACAGCTAAAAAGTGACAAAGTAGTACTAGACAGTGGCTCCCTGTAATCCTAGTTACTCAGGAGACTGAGACAGGAGAATCACAAATTCAAGGCCCACCTAGCCAACTTAGTGAGACCCTGCCTCAAAATAAAATAAGAAAGGCTGCTGGAGCCAGGCATGGTGGCTCAAGCCTGTAATCCCAGCACCTCGGGAGGCTGAGGCAGGAAGATCATAAATTGAAAGCCAGCTTTAGCAAATGCAAGGCACTAAGCAACTCAGTGAGACCCTGTTTCTAAATAAAATACAAAATAAGGGTGGGACATGGATCAGTGGTCAAGTTCCCCTGAGTTCAATCCCGAATACAAAAAAAAAAAAAAAGGCTTGCGGCATAGATGAGTAGTAGAGGTAGAACACTTGTCTAACATGTGCAAGGCCCTGGGTTTAATCCCTGATACCACCAAAAAAAAAAGTGACAAAATAGGATTCAAACTTAAGTTTGCTTAATTTCAAAATTTCTTTCCAGTTTCTTTCTCCTGACAGCCTTTGAGTCAACACCTCATCAATCCTTATCGGCAATTTCTCTAATGACAGGTATCAACTTGTTTCTTTGTGGGAATTTTTTTTTTTTTTTTTTTTTGGATGGTAGCAGGAATTGAACCAGGGCCTGGGGTTTGCTAGACAAGCTTCTATCTTTGTGGGATTTTTATAGATGAATAATCTTTCATTTACCCTATCATACTGATATTAAATAATCATCTGCCAGCCCTGACATCTTAGTCAGTAGGTCTTAGTCTCTAAATATGCTTCCATCAAATTGATGGCTGCAGTATTGGTAGGCACACTAGGTGTAAGGAAAACATAAGGCATGGTAGGCAAGGTATCTCAGGCTGGCAATGTAGCTTAATGAGTATCTGCCTAGCACAGGTGAAGCTATCTCTGGGTTTGACCCCCAACACACACACACACACACAAAGGCAAAACAGCTCAACCAAGGAAGCAAAGGTCAAAAGTACTAGAAAAACAAAGACTTACCAATTCCTTCTTCAATTTTGTGTATTGTGTGAGTTTCTACTGCTACAACTGCCGTGTTGTTCTCCGACCCAGCTTCATAAATCCTGTTGTAAAAGTGTCCATCGATAAACAAACTACATAAATCATGAAAAAATTAATATTCACAGCATGGGGTTAAGAAATTTGTTTTTACTCTATCTCAAAAGGAATAAAATAAATATACTCAACAATTCTATGTTAGTACTTTGACTAGTTTCCCATTGTATTTAAACTTCAAGCTTCGAAGCACTAGCTACTACCATGGAAATAAGTCAGCAACAACTTTCCTCACTTCAAAGGAAAGTAATTCTTGCTAGTATACTCCACTTGCTATTTTATTTCACCAGCCTTTTCCCTGTATCACATCACTAAAAATGTTCATGACACAGTTTTTTTTTAATTAAAAAAATTTTGTTTTTAAGTTTTGCTTCAAATACAAGACGAAATCATAGAATTCACCTGAGAAGAATATAAATAATTCAAGACAGGAAGAACCGTGTTGACCACAGAAATTGATGTATTTTGTTGAAATCTAGATATTTTAGCTTTTTTTTTTTTTCTTTTGTACTTTAGCATTGTGTGTATTAGGGCTGCTGGGATTGAACCCAGGACTTCACATATTAGGCAAGTGCTCTACCACTGAGCTACATTCCCATTCCTGCACTTTAGCATCTTTTAAGGCATCATTACCAAATTATTAACATGAACAAAAAAAATGAAAAAAAAGTAAGATAAAAAAAAAAAAAAAACTATGCCCAGGCTGGGATTGTGGCTCAGCGATAGAACATTCACCTAGCACATGTGAGGCCTTAGGTTTGATTCTCAGCACCACATAAAAATAAAATAAAGATACTGTGTTCAACTATAACAACAACAACAACAAAATAAATATTAAAAAAAAAAACTATGCCCAAATTAACTACTAGTAACTAGAGGCACCACTTAATGGATGGTTATATAATACAGACCAACCTAAAATGTCTCCACATTCATGGGCTCAGATAATCTAACATAATTTACTGTCATGTGTTTGCTTAATTTCTATAATAAACCTGATGGGGCTGGGGATGTGGCTCAAGCGGTAGCGCGCTCGCCTGGCATGCGTGCGGCGTGGGTTCGATCCTCAGCACCACATACCAACAATGATGTTGTGTCCGCCGAAAACTAAAAAATAAATATTAAAA